GGCAACTCTTTTGAGTGAATTTCCAGTGGGTTTTGCTCATAACCAAATTGTTTTTGAGTGGGCGTTTCCTAAAGGATGAGGGAGTTCTTCGAATTTCTTTCTTCAGTAGTAGAAACAAGGCAGACTGACTACTCTGTAAAGAGTTCTGATCAGCTTATGGAGTACCACTTACTTTCAAGTGGCGTCACTTATGTATTTAATAATTCGAATAGAGACACATGCTCAAACCTTCACAGGGATAATTCTTCGCGAACGTGGATGGAAGCCGCAGAAATGGCAGTAGCACTTTCAGGATCGAACTTCATCACGTATCGAAACACAAATGCGTTCACTGCAACTTGCTGTCTTCTACCATATTTCGCGAGCACTTTTCAAAGCCGATCGTCTCATGTTCGCTTTGTCGTTCGTTCATGGAACCATACCCAAAATGTTCCAACCAAAGGTACTACCTATCGGTAGGCTTGTTCCTCGAAATTGCGTTTGTTTTGTTTTTGTTCACTTCTCCAGAAATTGTAGGCTCCAGAGGTGGAACTTTTAAACTTTTTAATGATTTGGAAGAGAGGTTCCGCAATTGAAGACCTAAAACAAAGGTGGGAGCATTGTCGACGGAATGGATTCCCAGCAAAGAGTGCATCAAACGACCTAATAAAAATTCAATTCTGCCTTTGAAGGGTAGCCAACGTGGTCGACCACTGAGGCACTATGTATGACGGGCCTTGGTTTGGTATCGGAGAGGGCATCTCAAACCAGCTGGGTTNTACTACCTATCGGTAGGCTTGTTCCTCGAAATTGCGTTCGCTTTGTTTTTGTTCACTTCTCCAGAAATTGCAGGTTTCAGAGGTGGAACTTTTAAACTTTTTAATGATTTGGAATAAACAGAGAGGTTCCGCAATTGAAGACCTGAAACAAAGGTGGGAGCATTGTCGACGGAATGGATTCCCAGCAAAGAGTGCATCAAACGACCAATAAAAATTCAATTCTGCCTTTGAAGGGTAGCCAACGTGGTCGACCACTGAGGCACTATGTATGACGGGCCTTGGTTTGGTATCGGAGAGGGCATCTCAAACCAGCTGGGTTTCTCGGAGTCCTCACCGGAACCATCTTTTCAAACATATAATTTGGACTGTCGTTTTAGGAATGGGAACTTTTCACTGGACTGATTGTGGATGAACCACAATCAACAGTCAAGGAAGTGGCATGGATTGATAACAGCCGTCGCTCGGCTGTGGCAAAGATTCAGGTAATTCATGTGGTTTCTTTGTTATTGTTTCAACTCATATCTGGTTACTTTGAGTGAATATGACAGTCTCAGAAAACCAAAATCTCATTATTGCAGAGTAACTTACCCACACTGTTCAACAACTTACAATTAACCGACCAGGGCACATGGAACGAATTCAGTCGGGCGGTTGATTGCGAGAACGCTGTG